GAGATCCTGCAACACGTGTTTATAATTGAAAATTTTACTTACTTAATATTACTTAATGTTGTTATCCGGTACAAGATCGTCTTCACCAGACTCATATATTGTGCTTTGATCTCTATTATTTCTGTTACTGCTTTTTAATAGCAATTGGTTACAAAATGATAGGAACAGACTCGTCTTTAAAATAGAGAGGAATTTTCGAGTGAACTGATTTATCATGAAGGATTTTGCCCTTGTTGATGGCATCGAACCCTTTGTTTGCAAAGGAAAGTTTTAGAAATGATCTTCTCTCCTTTTCATCTTTTCCAATGCGAACTGGTTTGCAGTCAGGATTCTACTTCCTCGAAAGTGTCTCCCCATTGCGCCATCTATTTTTTTAAAGGTTAAAATTGAAACCATTGTAGGGATGACGCGCTGTCAATTAAGCTCTTGAAAACCGATAAATTTTCCACATAGCATCATTACGATCCTTACATGACAGTTGTATTTTAAAAGACAAATGTATCTACTAGCTATTTAGCATCAAGTACACAAGTACACTTGTATGCCTTTTGCCAACTTAAAACTACTGTCAGATCGGTTGTTAGTGGGAATTTTCGAAATCTAAAGAAAACACTAAGACATTTCTAATTAAATATTTCGTGGAAGGGCCGATTAAAAATGTTCAAAGGTTGAAGACTAATTACCCTAGATAACACACATAATTTTTTTTTTTAAAGATATGCACAAAAAAGATCCACAAGCAAAGTCTGTTGTCAAGTGCGTTTATTAAATATTTGTTATTCAAACACAACTTCTCTGTTGTTATGACGCATTAGAAAGGTATTTCCATCGACCCATATTTTTCATTTCTTGGTACTGTGAACTTTTAATGATATTATATCAACATGTAGCCTAAATATAAAAAAAATAATGGAATCTGAAGCGGATGATGTATCAACTATTTTTGCTTTATACGTTTTTAAGATACAACAGTCAACTCAAACACGCCTGAATATAAAAAGGTGTACCCGACTTTCTATTTTCGATTGTTGCCTATTTTTAGGTGTTTTTTTTTTTACCGGGGACAGAGATGCAAATTAATGCTTTAAAAAGATCAATCTTTTATCTTTCTGTGGATTTTTTTTTCATCGGAATTTATGCTTATGCACAAAAAAGATCCACATGTATTTGCACCTAGCTCAATCGCCTGTTTTGGTAAAATTTGTCTTTGATTTAAAAGTTTACAAATATCTCGAAGCTCCATACTATCATATATAAGATGCAAAAAAAATGAAATTATGCACCTACATTTAACTTTTAAAGCCCAGAGAAACAGATGTAAACATTCAAATTTACCAACTTGACCATTTTTACCTTCTCTAATAAAGAGTTCCATTTCTTTTGTTTAATTTCAACTGGATATCAGTCTGGTTTGAAAAGTCTGTGACTGTCAATATCAGAAATGATAGCTGTAAGATAACATGCAACTTCAAACGTTTGCCTGGTTTGGATAAATAAACTTAAAATGATACACACACTAAATTGATGAAGACATTAGAAGAAAGAAAACAATGCCGCCATTTTTATGAATTCCGATTGTACTTGGAGAACGCCAACTCGGCCCGTAAACAACTTAGCCACTCTATGAATAAAAGAAATATAGTTATCAACGAAGAGAGTAGCGTCTGCAAACTGGCTCCACATGTATGGAAATGATGGTCTCTTTACATCGTTGGAGCTGTCTATTTGAGTGGTAAAAGTTTGATTTTTATAAAAAGGATCGAGTAGTAGTTGGACCAAATTGTCACTGTACTTTCAAATGTTGATCAATGTTGGTCTCACTAATTAGCGACAAGAAAAATGTTAACGTCCAGAAACGACAAGAAGAATTTTAGCGTCCAGAAGCAACAAGAAGAATTTTAGCCTTGAGAAGCGACAATTAGAAGAAAAAATAGCGACAAGATAGATTAATGAGGGGGTGGGGCTATATAATCTCCATAGAAACGAGACTTGAAAATGCCAATAAATTTGCATACCAAATATCATTGACTTAACATTAGCGGTTCATCTTAAACTGATCTAATCACAAACTAATACATGTAAACTAAGCGAAAGTATTAAAGTCAATAGACCATGACTGAGGGGGCGGAGCAAAATAATCTCCACGGAAATGAGATGTGCTAATCCTTATGCAACTGCATACCAATTAACATTGGCCAACCACTAATGGTCCCCCTTGAACTGACCTAATCACAAACTAATACATGTACACGAAGCAAAAGTTTCAAAGTCAATAGACCATGACTGAGGAGGCGGAGCAAAAAAATCTCCATGGAAATGAGATATGCCAATGCTTATACAACTGCATACCAAATATCATTGACCTACCACTAGGGGTTCCCCATAAACTGACCTAATCACAAACTAATACATGTCAACTAAGCAAAAGTTTCAAAGTCAATAGACCATGACTGAGGGGGCAGGGCCAAATAATCTCCGCAGAAATAAAATGTGCCAATGCTGATACAGCTGCATACCAAATATCATTGACCTACCACAACTGGTTCACCATAAATTAGACCTAATCACAAACTAATATAATTGTTGACGCCGCCGCCGACGCCGGAAACAGCATACCTATGTCTCGCTTTTGACTCCGTCAAGGCGAGACAAAAATCAGTTAATAAAATATTAAAAACCGCTTTCAAATATAATAAAAACTATAACAGTTCATGATTGATTGTTGGGTTAGTGTTGCTCAAATTTAAGTTCCGAGGAGACTTGAGTGTTTATACCTGCCACCTTTCAAAATCTACATTGAACATATTTAGCACTTTTCCGAAAATATGTTTATAATGAAACAAAAAACGAGTAATTGTGAACATCTGTACCAATTAATTATTGATTCATTGATGTTGGTTTAAACCACACTTTCAGCACACTTTACTAAAATCATGGTGGCCAGTATTTATTGACAAAAGAAGCCGGAATAACCACCTTCGACAGAAGTGACTTTCAAGTGAATCCTATTAATCAATTCCTGGTATATTCGCTTCCCTCAAGTTGAATATGCTGAGAAGTAATGTATGGAATTATAGAAAATTTAATTTGAATCAACAATATTTAAAGGTTTCTATGTTAAGTTTAATCTGTTTTGGTGGAGACATGAGTGAGTATATTATCTTTTTTGGAAAACAAAACCGTTGAAAGCAACATAGCAGGCTTGGTTTGTGTGGTCTGTTTTCATAATAATTCAAGTTATCTTTCATGTATCTTCTTCCACCTCAGAGCTATCAGCTCTTTGATTTTAAATGGAATAGTATTGTCTATTAGCTGAAATTTTTTTCTGAACTTAAAGTCAAGAGTCATACGGGATTGTAAGTAAACTTTTCATTTATTTGAAAGGTTTCTAAACCAATAGTTGATTTACACCACTCCTTCTGGTTAGCTTATCAATTCTAAATTTCATTACATAATTTCCGTTTACTAAATTGTACTAGTACAATTTACACAATTAAGAACAGCATTTGACAATGCTTAACATGGAAATATAACATTAACAATTTAGAATGTCTTAACCTCAAACACGCACTGTTTTCATAAGCAAATAGTATTAAAGGAATAATTTTACACAATTTTGATAGAATTATCGTTTCTGCGTACTTGAAACTTGTTTTATCAAAGTTGTCCGCCCAGGTTCTCCTTTCATATCCGCCCAGGTTCTCCTTTCATAGTAACTACTCGATTGTTCATTCTATTTTAAGTAAGGTTCATATTGCTTTGTGCTTTCGTTTTCTATGTTGTATTTTGTGATACAATTCTTTTCAGTGTCTGTGATATTTCTACCGGTAACGGTCGTGTCTTCATTGACCTAAAAACTTTTTTTTTCATTGTCATACTTTCACATTTGGTTGTAATAGTATCAAAGTTAGAGAATTTAAATATACCGATGCTATTTTTTTTAAATTTCAGTAATGGCTCCAAGTTAGACGACAGAAAAAGTCCGAACCGTTATTGCATTATTTATTATCACAGATTATAAATTATCTTTTGATATCATCTTGTTTTTTTCACATAGTTTAAAAAACCTTTACTTAATTTCATCATCGGTACATTGGTGTACGGACATCATTCGTAAATATAAATCAACCTGCAGACATCTTATACGTTCAGGTATTTCACATCCCATCTTTTATGTTAATATTCTATACAAAGCACAAAAATGTCGTCATTCACCTCAAAAGCTATCCAAACCTTTAAACAGACTTATTCAGAAGGAATATAGTTACTGTTGTCAATCATTGAAGATGGCATTTTTCGGAATTAATATCGATTCACTTATAGGGTCTTTGAATTGAAAATAAACACATTTCTTCTAATACCAGTTGTTGGCATGATACGGGTTATTTTCTCTGAGACTCGTGTAATTCATGATGGCATGGTACTAAAACCATAATGGGAGGAGTTGTGCTTAATTTTCATATGATGAAGACATAATCATTCGATCAGTTTAATTGAGGTCTTGAGCTGGCATGTCAGTAACTGCTAGTAGTCCTTTGTTAATTTATGTTGATCATTGACATTTTGCTTAGTTTCTTCTGTTACCTACTCTAACATCGGACTCGGACTTCTTTTAAACTGAGTTTTACTGTGCGTATTGTTGTGTGTTTGTTTATTCCACATTGGATAGAGGTATAGGGGGAAGGTTGAGATCTCACAAAATATATTTAACCCCGCCGCATTGTTGCGCATGTCAAAAGTCAGGAACCTCTAGCCTTTGTTAGTCTTGTGTGTTTTTTTTTAATTTTTGTTTAGAGGCCTCCGGGTTCTGGATTTTCTCGCTTCGTTTAAGACCCTTTGGTGGCTTTGGACTGTTTTCTGCTCTTTGGCCAGGTTGTTGTCTTTTTGATACATTCTCCGTTTCCATTCTCAATTCGATTATCTTTTAAAACTGCAGTTTTGTTTTTATCGCAAATCCTATAAATCTTCATACAATTTTAAATTTGAGGTAAATTTTTCAGATCAAATTTGGAAAATGTATTGAAGAGTGGTACTTAAATTATATACCGAACGAAAGTGTGTTAGCCGGAAGGGCAACGGGTTCAAAAGGAATGGGTTTACAAATCTACAACGATTCTTCACCGATACAGATCTGCTATAATCCGTCCTTTATCTGTTTATTAATACCATTCTGGTTGCTTTTCGGAGGTTCATGTTACGTGGTAAGTTTAAACATATATTTTTATGTTATCGATTAAAAACAGGCTTTTTTAAGTTCAAGTTTGGACTGACTAGGAAATCTCAAATTCTGATTTGTTTGTGTCAAAAAAGATAACGTTAATTCTTTTATCATGAAAATGATGTTGTTATGTAACTTATCATTTAATTGGTAATGGATGCAAACATTTTGATGCATGTCATATTTATGCATCGTATTGCCATGAAACCGATCATATTATAAACTTTAAGGTGTTTTATTAATTTTTTTTTTAAAAGAATTATCATACATTTCATTCAATATTTCTGCTATATCACATTAACATTCAGCCAAAATGTGTTTTGTTGTTTTAAATAAAAGCCTTATTATAAACAGCATATGTGTGGTAAATTTCAGATTTCATAGACAATGGGTATCAAAATTGTATGGAAATCCTTTTCATATGATCATTTTGCCTAAAACAATTCAGGCATTATTAAATATTGCTCATGGTTTTACAGGTACATCGAAAAATGGAATATTTCGATAGAAGAGAACAGTTAAGTGGTATACCTATATCGCTTTTAAATGAAGAGGAATAGAACATGTACTATACAGTAATACAGCATCGAAGGGACAACAGGGCAATTTTGTAGATATTTTGATTTTATTCATATGTACACTATATTTAATACATTTTAAAAGGTCATAGTTAGAATTTTTTGATATTAATTTCCTCTAAGATTGCTCTTTATAGCTCCGGCTGTATAAGAAACACATTTTCCTACAGATAACAATACCAGAGACTATAAAAAATATGTAAAAACTTGCAAATAGCTTTAGCTCTTAATGATAGCATTTTCCTTCAAACACAAGCATTTTCATTTTGGATCTTTAGTCAAATGTTTTAATACTATTTTTATCTAAGGACATCATTCCAGAACAAGAATTGTTTCAGTAAATGCTACTACATATCAATTTAGAGAGGAGGGGACTGGATCGTAACCCTATGCTAACGAAGATGATATAAAACAAATTCATTTTTTTGGCTAAAGATGAAGGACCGTGTGACTTTAAGAAAATTAAACGTTTACAGCGCATAGATCAGGATCGTAGGGATGGGTCTAGATCACACCTGCCGATAAGAAGGCAATTCACTATTTAACTAGACCAATTTTAACAGTGGTCGAAAGTAGCGCTAAAATAATCCATAGATGCTATAAATATGTATGAGACCAATTCATTACCATAAATATTGTCCATACGTCACGCAGTTTGGTATACGATGAACGTCTCGTTCTTTTTATTATGGACAATTTATATTTCTTTATAGTTTGGAGATATCTGTCATATATTTTTCATAGCAATTGCTAATGCTTTTATAGATCATATTTTTTAAGATAGGGTGTCTTATTAGAGATTGATTTCTGGTTACTTATATTTTTATATCATGTAATAACCTCTGTGAACCAACTGTGACTATTTTGGTCTTTGCCAGCTAATTGTCGCCTAGCTATTTGATTTTCGGTTGATTCCTCTGGAATTAGAGATGTACTCTACACGTAGCTTAGAGTTTTAACATGTTCTTCAATTGGTAGCATTTCAGATATCATTTTTTGAGATAAGAACAGTATCTGTTTATTACTGGTACGAGTATCCCCAATCCATATCGTAATGTGTGTTGCTTCGCATCACGGTGCGGAGCTATTAGTTTAAGTCGATATACACGCCATCTTGAAATAATTACTTATTACATATAGATTCTGATTGGTTGCTTTATGATGCGGCTGAGATACAGCAACAGCTATTGGCTTAAATGAGATAAAGAATTCTAGACTTTTCTCGTCTCAGGATAAGACATCAAATGCCGGAAAATTAACTATGTGTATTTCAGTTCCGATCAACTGTCATTAATTCATGTTTATTTTATTATGCATATATTGCACACTGAAATTCAATATTGAAATATCAATTATTAATACGTGTTTAATTGCTTTGTTAATCTGCAATATGCACGATTTGTTTTGCTTAACAATGTTCCTATACAATGTTTACATAAATGCATTATTTGTATTTTATAACTTCTTTTCAACAAGTAAAGTGAACAACATTTTAAAAGCATGGGTGTATAACGCATCTAAACACTGAACAGCCAGTTTAAAATTTCAGAAAAGTTCATCTTAATATATATACAAAAATTGATATTCCAAGTCTAAGAAATCCATTTTATATCAATCAATATATGAATATACCACGTTTCCAATATTAAATCAACAACCACATGCACACAAATTACCTTAAAATATGATAGAGCGAAGCAGTCCACAGCTTTTTAGAAAGCTAAAACTTGTATTATATGTTTTCAATGTATTAATGCAGGTACTAGAGTTCAATGCTTTTCTCCATGATACCCACCAGGTATGAGACTGTAAGCTGTTCTAGCTTCTTAATATTTTCATTGATGGTATTGATTATAATGTATTTGTGTTACTTTGATCTTTGTGTTGAAAGATGAGTTGCTGTTTGTACATTTTGAAATTTTGTATGTTTTTGTTTTAATTAACTGGGTAATATCGCTTTCTCTGTTTGTTTTTTCATCTAATAACTACGCTTTTTTGTGGTTGTAATTTATAAATAAATGCTCACTGCAACTGTATTCGAATTTTATTTTTGATAGTATTTGAGCTTTAAATGGATCTGTCACACTGTTTGTAGAAATATCTGCGGACTCACCGGGACAACACGGTATGTGACAAATTTCGATTCCTAAACTAGCTATAGACTGCTGTAAATTATATAGCAATATATATATATATATATATATACCTAATAAAGATCGACATGAAGAATTCGTCTTGACGTACAACCTGTGAAACTCGAAATTCATTTGAAAATTTTCTATTGAATTTTACAACGGATGGTGCATGTTTGTGTAAATTGTTGATAAGGTTCCAATGGCTGTCATTTATTCACCAATAATATAGCTTACGCATTTAGTATTCATGAATTAATACATCAAATGGGGATTTTGCATTTAACATAATTATGATCAGGAGTTGTCCTAGATCGAATGCTTCTCTATTCGTTTCCTCCCAAATGATCAATGGTGCATTTAAAGGTGCAGAATTATGTGCGAATCCTCCTAATACTTGCAGAGTGCACTGAAATGGCATTCTCCTTAGGCGAACTCTAGATTTTAAGCTGGATTGAATCATCTTACAAAATATGTAAAGAGTCATACGGGATTGTAAGTAAACTTTTCATTTATTTGAAAGGTTTCTAAACCAATAGTTGATTTACACCACTCCTTCTGGTTAGCTTATCAATTCTAAATTTCATTACATAATTTCCGTTTACTAAATTGTACTAGTACAATTTACACAATTAAGAACAGCATTTGACAATGCTTAACATGGAAATATAACATTAACAATTTAGAATGTCTTAACCTCAAACACGCACTGTTTTCATAAGCAAATAGTATTAAAGGAATAATTTTACACAATTTTGATAGAATTATCGTTTCTGCGTACTTGAAACTTGTTTTATCAAAGTTGTCCGCCCAGGTTCTCCTTTCATATCCGCCCAGGTTCTCCTTTCATAGTAACTACTCGATTGTTCATTCTATTTTAAGTAAGGTTCATATTGCTTTGTGCTTTCGTTTTCTATGTTGTATTTTGTGATACAATTCTTTTCAGTGTCTGTGATATTTCTACCGGTAACGGTCGTGTCTTCATTGACCTAAAAACTTTTTTTTTCATTGTCATACTTTCACATTTAGTTGTAATAGTATCAAAGTTAGAGAATTTAAATATACCGATGCTATTTTTTTTAAATTTCAGTAATGGCTCCAAGTTAGACGACAGAAAAAGTCCGAACCGTTATTGCATTATTTATTATCACAGATTATAAATTATCTTTTGATATCATCTTGTTTTTTTCACATAGTTTAAAAAACCTTTACTTAATTTCATCATCGGTACATTGGTGTACGGACATCATTCGTAAATATAAATCAACCTGCAGACATCTTATACGTTCAGGTATTTCACATCCCATCTTTTATGTTAATATTCTATACAAAGCACAAAAATGTCGTCATTCACCTCAAAAGCTATCCAAACCTTTAAACAGACTTATTCAGAAGGAATATAGTTACTGTTGTCAATCATTGAAGATGGCATTTTTCGGAATTAATATCGATTCACTTATAGGGTCTTTGAATTGAAAATAAACACATTTCTTCTAATACCAGTTGTTGGCATGATACGGGTTATTTTCTCTGAGACTCGTGTAATTCATGATGGCATGGTACTAAAACCATAATGGGAGGAGTTGTGCTTAATTTTCATATGATGAAGACATAATCATTCGATCAGTTTAATTGAGGTCTTGAGCTGGCATGTCAGTAACTGCTAGTAGTCCTTTGTTAATTTATGTTGATCATTGACATTTTGCTTAGTTTCTTCTGTTACCTACTCTAACATCGGACTCGGACTTCTTTTAAACTGAGTTTTACTGTGCGTATTGTTGTGTGTTTGTTTATTCCACATTGGATAGAGGTATAGGGGGAAGGTTGAGATCTCACAAAATATATTTAACCCCGCCGCATTGTTGCGCATGTCAAAAGTCAGGAACCTCTAGCCTTTGTTAGTCTTGTGTGTTTTTTTTTAATTTTTGTTTAGAGGCCTCCGGGTTCTGGATTTTCTCGCTTCGTTTAAGACCCTTTGGTGGCTTTGGACTGTTTTCTGCTCTTTGGCCAGGTTGTTGTCTTTTTGATACATTCTCCGTTTCCATTCTCAATTCGATTATCTTTTAAAACTGCAGTTTTGTTTTTATCGCAAATCCTATAAATCTTCATACAATTTTAAATTTGAGGTAAATTTTTCAGATCAAATTTGGAAAATGTATTGAAGAGTGGTACTTAAATTATATACCGAACGAAAGTGTGTTAGCCGGAAGGGCAACGGGTTCAAAAGGAATGGGTTTACAAATCTACAACGATTCTTCACCGATACAGATCTGCTATAATCCGTCCTTTATCTGTTTATTAATACCATTCTGGTTGCTTTTCGGAGGTTCATGTTACGTGGTAAGTTTAAACATATATTTTTATGTTATCGATTAAAAACAGGCTTTTTTAAGTTCAAGTTTGGACTGACTAGGAAATCTCAAATTCTGATTTGTTTGTGTCAAAAAAGATAACGTTAATTCTTTTATCATGGAAATGATGTTGTTATGTAACTTATCATTTAATTGGTAATGGATGCAAACATTTTGATGCATGTCATATTTATGCATCGTATTGCCATGAAACCGATCATATTATAAACTTTAAGGTGTTTTATTAATTTTTTTTTTAAAAGAATTATCATACATTTCATTCAATATTTCTGCTATATCACATTAACATTCAGCCAAAATGTGTTTTGTTGTTTTAAATAAAAGCCTTATTATAAACAGCATATGTGTGGTAAATTTCAGATTTCATAGACAATGGGTATCAAAATTGTATGGAAATCCTTTTCATATGATCATTTTGCCTAAAACAATTCAGGCATTATTAAATATTGCTCATGGTTTTACAGGTACATCGAAAAATGGAATATTTCGATAGAAGAGAACAGTTAAGTGGTATACCTATATCGCTTTTAAATGAAGAGGAATAGAACATGTACTATACAGTAATACAGCATCGAAGGGACAACAGGGCAATTTTGTAGATATTTTGATTTTATTCATATGTACACTATATTTAATACATTTTAAAAGGTCATAGTTAGAATTTTTTGATATTAATTTCCTCTAAGATTGCTCTTTATAGCTCCGGCTGTATAAGAAACACATTTTCCTACAGATAACAATACCAGAGACTATAAAAAATATGTAAAAACTTGCAGATAGCTTTAGCTCTTAATGATATCATTTTCCTTCAAACACAAGCATTTTCATTTTGGATCTTTAGTCAAATGTTTTAATACTATTTTTATCTAAGGACATCATTCCAGAACAAGAATTGTTTCAGTAAATGCTACTACATATCAATTTAGAGAGGAGGGGACTGGATCGTAACCCTATGCTAACGAAGATGATATAAAACAAATTCATTTTTTTGGCTAAAGATGAAGGACCGTGTGACTTTAAGAAAATTAAACGTTTACAGCGCATAGATCAGGATCGTAGGGATGGGTCTAGATCACACCTGCCGATAAGAAGGCAATTCACTATTTAACTAGACCAATTTTAACAGTGGTCGAAAGTAGCGCTAAAATAATCCATAGATGCTATAAATATGTATGAGACCAATTCATTACCATAAATATTGTCCATACGTCACGCAGTTTGGTATACGATGAACGTCTCGTTCTTTTTATTATGGACAATTTATATTTCTTTATAGTTTGGAGATATCTGTCATATATTTTTCATAGCAATTGCTAATGCTTTTATAGATCATATTTTTTAAGATAGGGTGTCTTATTAGAGATTGATTTCTGGTTTCTTATATTTTTATATCATGTAATAACCTCTGTGAACCAACTGTGACTATTTTGGTCTTTGCCAGCTAATTGTCGCCTAGCTATTTGATTTTCGGTTGATTCCTCTGGAATTAGAGATGTACTCTACACGTAGCTTAGAGTTTTAACATGTTCTTCAATTGGTAGCATTTCAGATATCATTTTTTGAGATAAGAACAGTATCTGTTTATTACTGGTACGAGTATCCCCAATCCATATCGTAATGTGTGTTGCTTCGCATCACGGTGCGGAGCTATTAGTTTAAGTCGATATACACGCCATCTTGAAATAATTACTTATTACATATAGATTCTGATTGGTTGCTTTATGATGCGGCTGAGATACAGCAACAGCTATTGGCTTAAATGAGATAAAGAATTCTAGACTTTTCTCGTCTCAGGATAAGACATCAAATGCCGGAAAATTAACTATGTGTATTTCAGTTCCGATCAACTGTCATTAATTCATGTTTATTTTATTATGCATATATTGCACACTGAAATTCAATATTGAAATATCAATTATTAATACGTGTTTAATTGCTTTGTTAATCTGCAATATGCACGATTTGTTTTGCTTAACAATGTTCCTATACAATGTTTACATAAATGCATTATTTGTATTTTATAACTTCTTTTCAACAAGTAAAGTGAACAACATTTTAAAAGCATGGGTGTATAACGCATCTAAACACTGAACAGCCAGTTTAAAATTTCAGAAAAGTTCATCTTAATATATATACAAAAATTGATATTCCAAGTCTAAGAAATCCATTTTATATCAATCAATATATGAATATACCACGTTTCCAATATTAAATCAACAACCACATGCACACAAATTACCTTAAAATATGATAGAGCGAAGCAGTCCACAGCTTTTTAGAAAGCTAAAACTTGTATTATATGTTTTCAATGTATTAATGCAGGTACTAGAGTTCAATGCTTTTCTCCATGATACCCACCAGGTATGAGACTGTAAGCTGTTCTAGCTTCTTAATATTTTCATTGATGGTATTGATTATAATGTATTTGTGTTACTTTGATCTTTGTGTTGAAAGATGAGTTGCTGTTTGTACATTTTGAAATTTTGTATGTTTTTGTTTTAATTAACTGGGTAATATCGCTTTCTCTGTTTG